GCCCCTTGTGCGAGGGCATGGAACGGCAGGTTGGGGAGGGCAGCGCGGCCCGGGCGTGGAGCGCCTTCCTCATTTGTAGGCAGCCCTCGGTTCACTCCCGCCACCACCTGAGTCAGGTGTGGTGGTGCACACCGTATGTGAAAACAAACATAATATATAATAAAGAGTCACCATTCTGTAATCTCAGTGCTCTGGAGGTCACGTGGCAAAAAGGTTAGCTGCGCTTCTCAGTGTAGCCCTGGCTGTCCTGGCACTCACTCTGGAGGCCAGGCTGACCTTGAACTCACAGAGATCCGCCTGTCTCTGCCTCCCGAGTGCTGGCGTTAAAGGTGTGCACCACCACTGCCCAGGCTCGTTCTATTAATTTTAAAATTGTTTATATGTGCCAGGAAGTAGTAGTGCACTGCATACCTTTAATCCCAGCACTCGGGAGGCAGAGGCAGGTGAATCTCTGTGAGTTCGAGGCCACCTTGGTCTACAGAGTGAGTTCCTGGACAGCTTGGGATACACAAAGAAACCCTGTCTTGAAAAAACAAAATAAAAACAAGCAAATAAAAAACAAACAAAATGAAACCAACAGTTTCCCAGATTGTTGGTGACAGATTATCTTATTTGAACCCCCACCACCACTTTCACTCTCTCTCTCTCTCTCTCTCTCTCTCTCTCTCTCTCTCTCTCTCTCTCTCTCTCATATCAAGGACTCACCCGACTCCACCTGGCCTTGGGAGCCATGAGTGACCAGGAATTCCCAGTCTTCCTGCTTCCACCTCAAAAGTGCTGGGATTAGAGGCATGAATCCCAAGGCCACGTTTACGCAGGAGACAGAATCTGGGAGTCTTTACACGCTATGCAGCCGCTATCCCAGCTGAGGGACACCCCCAGTCTCCTAGCCTCAGCCCCTGAACAAATTTCCTTTTACTTGGTATAGAACCATGTAATAGTAATTTGGACTTCAATAAAAGAGAAATGAGTTAGTAAATGAAAGTAAAACCATACTTGTTGAGAATATAAAATATTAACCTTTAATAAAATCTGTTGGCTATAAAATTGTGATCCTTCAGGCATGTATGGCTGTTCTGTACAGGAGGGCTGAAGTCCCGGGCCATGTCCCCACCTCACTTCTTCCTCTTCTTTCCTGCAGCAGGTATCTCATTTTTCTTGCCCAGAATCTTCAGAAGTGCCTTGGGCATGTAGTAGGGCCGCTCCTGAGAGCCGTCATTTCTTTCCAGGTCTTCCACTGAGTAGCAGAGTAGATTGATTAGATTGGATCCTGATAAATGGGGCTCTGTTGCACCCCAGAAATAATCTGGGCTGTGTAAATCAAACAGCCTGGTTTCTTGTCCAAGCCACTTAAGATGGATTTATAAAACCTACCAGCAGGCTGTGTAACCTGTTTCCTCATATAAAGTGTATAAATAATCATATGTTTCACAGGGTGACAACAGAATAAAGAAAAATTGCATGTCAGTTCATCATGGTAGCCCATGGTGGCTTTTGTCTGTAATCCCAACATTTAGGAGGTGCAGACAGGAGGACTTGGAATACAGGGCCAGCCTGAGCTACACAACGAAACTGTCTGGGGACTGACAGTGAGTGCATCTCTCCTTGATTCTAGCACTTGGGAGGTAGAGGCCACAAGACTGCCTGGGGTTGATTCAGCCTGGTCTATATCTAGAGCTGGAGCCAGCCAAGAATACATGGGGTGGCCCTAAGTAAATAAATAGGATTTAACAAAGAAGCAAAACCACAAAACAACAACAAAATGGCTGGGGGAGTGGCATAGTGGTGAGGCATTCCTGCTTTGCAGGCACAAGGTCCTGGTGACATTGTCACCGGGACAAAACAATATCACAATTTCCAGCACTTGGGGGCTGAGGTAGGAGGATCATGAGTTTGAGCCAGCCTTAGCTATAGAGTTATTTCCAGGTCAGCCTGTGCCACACAGTGGTCCTGTCTCACCTCCCTGCATGTCCCCTCCCCCCACCAAAAGCCTAAATAAAAGAAGGAAGAACCCCCCACCCACCCACCC